TACTACTACTACTACTACTACTACTACTACTACTACTACTACTACGACTGCTGTTATTATTAGTATTAGTATTATTATTAGTATTATTAACATTATTATCATTATCATTATCATTATTCCTATTACTATTATTATTATGATTATTAATATTATGATTATGATTATTATTAAGATTATTATTATTACCATTACACTAATTATAATAATCATTATTATTAGTCTCAGTTTTCTTATTTTCCTCTTGTTAGTATTTCTTGTATTGTTACCACTTGTTTTTCTCATTGTTCATCTTCCTGTTTTTGTTCCCTGGGCGTTGTGGTGTCTCGGCTTGCCGTGCCCGTTCTGGGTGGGATGCCGAGAGGCCTCTCGAGCATTGTCGGTTGCATGGGATTCATTTGCCTCACGTCATTTCCGACTTACGCAATTATTCGTTGGTTTTCGCGGTGTGTTGGGCCAGCCAGTGCGGTCTGCCGATAGGTGACAGTGCGGCTTGATGGTTTCTTTTGATACCATTGCGAATGTATGCGATGTTCAGCTTCGGGCCATCCCGCCCTGGGCGTGATGTTAGGACATGCTGACGTAGTTCTCCCCTCTCGCTTCCTCCCTCTGTCCCTCTTCACCCTGGCCCGCACGAGCATGGTGGACCCCTCCTATCAGTTGGGAAGCTGGCAATTTCCATCATCGGGGCTCTCTTTGGGGAGGCACACCAATGATGATGCCGATGCTGATGACGATGCTGATGGTGCTTATGATGATGCTGACGATGATGATGGTGCTGATGATGATGGTGATGCTGATGATGATGCTGATGCTGATGCTGATGCTTATGCTGCTGCTGATGCTGATGATGATGTTGCTACTGATGCGGATGCTGATAATGGTGCTGCTCCTGTTGATGATGATGGTGACGATGATGATGACGAGGATCAGGACGAGGAGGAGGATGAGGAGGAGGGGGATTTTTGCTGGCTGGCTGGCTGGCTGGTCGGTTGGATGAGGACTAGGCGGTGGAGGAGGGACGTCTCTTGAGGTGGGGGGGGGCGCCCGTGGCGCCCAGGCGGTGGAGGAGGGGGAGGGGGAGCAGGAGAGGAGAAGGAGGTGGGGGGGGCAAGAAGAGGTGGAAGGGGTACGGGATAACTGGGGATGAGGGAGGGGGAGGGGAACAACGAGGAGGAAGAGAAGGAGGAAAAGGGGGAAGACGACGGCGAGCTCTGGGGTATCGCCAAGATAGTCAACGATGCTGCAATGCATTTTCTCGTCCCAGGCCGCCTCACATCAGTCCCTACACTCAGACCTTCCTATTCCCACGAGAAGCGCCGCTCTGAAAGACGAGCACACCATGTGCCCGCCATTCAGGCGAGAGCGCCGTTTCGAAAATGACTGGCTAGCGAGCCAACGTGGATGCGACCAGGTATGCTCATGCAGTTGGAGGTTATCAGCGATGTCTCCGTTTTGATAAAGAGGGTTGCCCTTACTGGTGTAGTTTTGACACAAGTTTGCACTCTGGCCATGACATTCGAGGACGCCTTAAGCGAGAACCCCATTTGGCAACGGCGCCGCCCTCTATCCGTGTAGTTAACACATCTGGTTCAGTTTCTGAGCTTCACAAGGGGGGCCTCGAGCGAGAACCCCATTCTGAAAATGAGCCGCCCTCCAACCGCATGACTGTTACAAGCGTTCCCCCAATCAGGCTTTACCTCAGGCCCCCCTACTTGTTCCCAATCATCCTGTGGTGTTGGGTCCTCGTTTTGAAGAGACGGCGCCCCGCGTTCCTCACCTCCTCCTCCTCCCCCCCCTCCCTCCTCCCATCATCATCATCATCACCATCATCATCATCATCATCATCATCATCATCATCATCATCATCATCATCATCATCACCACCGATTTCGGCACACCCCTCACACGTTTCGTGGCCCCATAGGGAGCTCCACCGAAGGCCCCAGTGGCAGGGTTCGCATGCTTCCCCACCACCCATTTCGGCACACCCCTCACACGTTTCGTGGCCCCATAGGGAGCTCCACCGAAGGCCCCAGTGGCAGGGTTCGCATGCCTCCCCACCACCCATTTCTGCACACCCCTCACACGTTTCGTGGCCCCATAGGGAGCTCCACCGAAGGCCCCAGTGGCTGGGTTCGCATGCCTCCCCACCACCCATTTCGGCACACCCCTCACACGTTTCGTGGCCCCATAGGGAGCTCCACCGAAGGCCCCAGTGGCAGGGTTCGCATGCCTCCCCACCACCCATTTCGGCACACCCCTCACACGTTTCGTGGCCCCATAGGGAGCTCCACCGAAGGCCCCAGTGGCAGGGTTCGCATGCCTCCCCACCACCCATTTCGGCACACCCCTCACACGTTTCGTGGCCCCATAGGGAGCTCCACCGAAGGCCTGGCAGGGTTCGCATGCCGCACACCCCTCACACGCTTCGTGGCCCCATAGGGAGCTCCACCGAAGGCGCATGCCTCCCCACCACATTTCGGCACACCCCTCACACGTTTCGTGGCCCCATAGGGAGCTCCACCGAAGGCCCCAGTGGCAGGGTTCGCATGCCTCCCCACCACCCATTTCGGCACACCCCTCACACGTTTCGTGGCCCCATAGGGAGCTCCACCGAAGGCCCCAGTGGCAGGGTTCGCATGCCTCCCCACCACCCATTTCGGCACACCCCTCACACGTTTCGTGGCCCCATAGGGAGCTCCACCGAAGGCCCCAGTGGCAGGGTTCGCATGCCTCCCCACCACCATTTCGGCACACCCCTCACACGTTTCGTGGCCCCATAGGGAGCTCCACCGAAGGCCCCAGTGGCAGGGTTCGCATGCCTCCCCACCACCCATTTCGGCACACCCCTCACACGTTTCGTGGCCCCATAGGGAGCTCCACCGAAGGCCCCAGTGGCAGGGTTCGCATGCCTCCCCACCACCGGCACACCCCTCACACGTTTCGTGGCCCCATAGGGAGCTCCACCGAAGGCCCCAGTGGCAGGGTCCGCATGCCTCCCCACCACCCATTTCGGCACACCCCTCACACGTTTCGTGGCCCCATAGGGAGCTCCACCGAAGGCCCCAGTGGCCTGGTTCGTATGCCTCCCCAACACCCATTTCGGCACATCCCTCACACGTTTCGTGGCCCCATGGGGATTTCCACTGAAGGCCCCAGTGACTGGGTTCGCATGCGCCCCCACACCCATTTCGGCACACCCCTCACACGTTTCGTGGCCCCATAGGGAGCTCCACCGAAGGCCCCAGTGGCTGCTTTCGCATGCCGCCCCCACACCAATTTCGGCACACCCCTCACACGTTTCGTGGCCCCACAGGGAGCTCCACCGAAGGCCCCAGTGGCTGCGTTCGCATGCCGCCCCCACACCAACTTCGGTGCACCCCTCACACGTTTCGTGGCCCCATAAGGAGCTCCACCGAAGGCCCCAGTGGCAACGTTCGCATGCCGCCCCCACACCCATTTCGGCACACCCCTCAAACGGTTCGTGGCCCCATAGGGAGATCCACCGAAGACGGTACTCACACCAGCATTACTCACAACTGCATATGGTTGGGTCCTTCGCCAGGCTAATTTTTGAACGAGCAGGTGGGTGTTGGACGTGGACGCTCTGGGACTCCCAGTGGTTGGTTGGTCTTGTTTCCTTTCTGTAGCGATTCCTGTGGCTGCTAGGTCTTGTCTCCCTACTGTGACGTTCTCCGGGATTGCCAAGTCTCGTCTCCTTATAGTGACGGTCCCCGGGCTTGACTGGTCTTCTTTCTTAATTGTGGCCTTCCCCAGGGTTGCTTGGTCTTGTTGAATCGCTTCGCTCACTGAGCCGGCCCATCTTGTCTCGCCAGTGTCGTTTCTGGGTGTTGTTGTCAATGCTGTGCCGCTGGGCGGCTGGCATTTTCTGGAGGCGGGGCGCGGTGAGAGTCGTAGGTGAAGCAGTTGCCGTGGAATTGCTTCCTGTGGGTCCGTCGTTGACCCCGGCGGTGATGTCCTGGCAGCTGGCAGTCGTGGGTTGTCAGGGTGGTTGTAGGTGTTTCGCTTGGGGCACTTTGGGGCCAAACGTGGTCATGGACCAGACGGCTCTTTTTATGTTTTCTCTGGGTCTCTTGGAGGCCTCTCGGAGGCCTCTCGGCTGTATTTTTGGATCTTTCTCGGGCCTCAGGGGGGCCTCTTGGATGCCTCGTGGGGGCCTCTTCGGGGCCTCTTCGGGGCCTCTTCGGGGCCTCTTCGGAGCCTCCTGGGGCCTCCTGGGGGCCTCTCGGGGCTGAGGGCTTGAAATGCCAGTTCGGGGGCCTCGTCTTGGGGCCCCTCGTGCAGTTTTGGAGGCGCTGAACCCCCCAACGTCGCACATAAGGAAAATGTGCGTTTTTCAAAGTGAATGGGCAACATGTTGCTTGTCGGGGACCTGTGGGAGAGTCTCTTGCGGCTCTCCTGGGCCTTCTTGGCGGCCTCTCGGGCCATCCTGTGCGTCTGGACCGTGTCGGGAGCGTTCTGGTGTCCTCTTGGCGCGTTCCTGGAGCGTTCTGGGGGGCTTGGCCGGGCATCGGCCGGGGTACTTTTCATCCAGGGACTCCCAGGGGCCGCCCCGCGCGCGCGAACTAGAAATACTGTCAACCAGGGGGCGAAACCTGTTTCGGCGGCGCGTAAGAGAAGGGGTGGTGCGAGGGCGGGGAGAGGGTTGGATGTCTCGGAGGAAACCTCCTCCTCTCCAGGGATCCTTCGTGGGAGCCCCCCCGATCCCTTCTGAGAGCTCCCCTGAGCCTTCTCATAAGGCTGCCCTACTCCCCCCCCTGGCGCGTCGCGAAAGAGGAGGGGTCAGGGCTCACGTAACGGGGGTCAGCGCTCAGGGGTGTCAACTAACCCTCTCTGGCTGACTGGGATTTGGGAGCCACGTGAGGCCGATTACCCCATAGCGGCTCATAGCGGCCAGCTGGGCTTCGCGACAGGGCCCTGGCCCACCCGGGTTTATGCTGTCCCGGGCTAGTGCTTCCCCGCTCGCTCGGGTTACGCAGGATCCGCTCGTCGAGATGGCGCGCCTGGACCCCGTCATGGCCACGAGCTTCGTGCGCCCGCGAGGGGGGGGGGAAGCGGGGGGGGGCACGTCAGGCCTAGGCATGGCGGGATCCGAGGTGGGGGTTGCTGGCGGTGCTCGGCCTGGGGTTGGCGGGAGGGGGGGGGCGGTTTAACGAGATGGCCTGGTACGGGTGGGGTTGTTGGGAGGCCCTCGTGCCTTTCTAAGGGGCCTTCCTGGAAGCTTCCGGGCCCTTCCTGGGAAGCCGCCTTGCCTTCTGGGAAGGTCGCCCCCCTCGTGCCTTCAGGGGCTGGCTGACACGAGCGGGAGGGTCTGCCACGCTTCTGGCGATGCCCTCCTCATCTGTGGAACAGGCCCTACAGCACTTCGAGCAAGGAAATGGTGCTGGACAAGCGATGGAAAGCTACGGAGTGGCGGGACGCTCAGGGGCAGGCTGCCGCAGGTGAGCTCGGCGTAATGCGTCTTAAAAGGGCCGTCGCGTCGCAGGTAGATGCGGATCGAGGGCTGCATAATCTTAGCATGCATTTCCTGGGAAGTTCAATTCAGAATCGGTGCTAGTAGATCCCTGGTCGAAAACTGGCCTCATCAAGCTTAATCCTGCTTAATCCGGCCTGCTCCCGCTTAGTCTGGCTCAATCCCAGGCTCAGTTGAGCCTTACCCAGCCCAGTGCCCCTTGAGTCGGTTTTCATCGTCCTTAATCCTTCCGGCGAATTCCCAGGAGTTGCATCTTAAGGAAAGGGGCGTGATCTGGGGGCGAGTGGCGCACGATGGCAGCCGGCAGTTATTGGCATCATTACGGGCAGGGCTGGCGCATTGGCTGCAGCTCTGCACGCACGAAATGGGCACAGAAAGAATGGGTACAATGCCCACCAGCAGTTACTGCTCATTTTGAACAGCACTCGCTGTCGGTGTCGCCGCGGCCTGTGCCCATTCGAGACAGAAGGCCGCCTGCCCAACAGCGGCCGCTGTTGGTTCGGGACAACATTTGCTGTTGGGCATTACACCCATTCTTTCCGTGCCCATTTCGGGCGTCCAAAGCAGCGGCCAGGTTCGATTACTGAGCACTGTCAAGGGCCTGTCCCCCGCGGGCCATTGTTCCGAGAGGACCTGCTCTTGCTTCTCTCCCTCTGCGTTCGACATTGGGCGGTGTGCCCGATAATCATCAGAACGCCCACGTAAATAGGGCGACGCTCAGAGCGTCGGGGAGCGGCATGCCATCCGCAGTTGCACCAGTGCCTTTAGCAGCTTTATGGCATACAGGACGGTGGGCATCAGCGGTGCCAATCGCCGGAGCGGCACCACGGCTGCCAGCAACACCCTACTACCTCGAGTACGACGGGTGCCGCCGGTACGAACCGCCCGCAGCAGCACCAGCACGCTTTGCACGGGAGGTCAGGACGGGGCCGACGACCAGGGTTACGTTTAGTTGTTTCACCCCAGGCTCTGTAAGAACATGCGATTCTAGCGGTTGGCTGTTTTGGGCTCTCACGATCTTAGAGTTTATGGGATGAGACGACACGCGCTCCATTCTTAACGGCTGGTTTCTGGCTGCTCTCGTGTGGACCGCTTCTGCTCGCTTACCTGCCGCTCCTTGCTTAGGCGTGGCTCCGCTGCTCCGCGCGCCGTCTGGCGGCCGCGTGCTCTGGCCTCCTGCCCTTTGCGCTCCCCTCCCCCTTCAGTTGTTCATGCTCTCTTCCTGCTCGCTCCCTGTGCTCTCCGCTGGCCCGCCACCGACGCTGGCTCAAACTACTATATGTAGGAGCGCGCTTCCCGCGCGCGCGAAGGTATGGGGGAGTCGGATCGTCTCGTCGTCGTCCTCCCCTCCTCGTTTTTTTTTCACTTGTCCATATCAGCTTGCCGGATTGTTGAATATTAAAGAACACATTTGGTAGACCCATCATGAACGATGATACCCATACTTCATCATCGCCGTTGAATCCCACCTTCGCTGGGACTTCCGTTCCTCTGCCGACTGACTGGTTATCAGCCGAGCGCTTCGTGGATGGATCATCTGCGCATACGATTGCAGCCAATGATAGTAACGTAATTGTTCATGCAAAGACCCTTCGTGCCCGGACTGTTGTACGTCTAGCGGGCGAACCAATCAATATCCGTCCTGGAATACCTTTTTATTTTCCCAGTGTTCGGTGATCCATATGTTCCAAAAGTGAACGGCGGATCGATATTGATTTGGCCGATCGAGAAAAAGGCTGTCTGCCACGCGAATTGTCCGTTATTTTTTAAGATGAGTAAATCCCATATGGCACTTTGTCTATAAAAGCAGCATGATCCCAATTGTGTCTCAAGCAGGCCATACACGGGATAGCACAGGGGAGACGCTCGGGGCGAAACGTCGCAAGGCGCCTGGAGGTCTCCGACGTGACAGGATACGCAATTGATGAACAACAACATCCTGCTGCGGATATAATAGTTGGACCATTTTCGATTCCGAACCTATCCCCGCGCAGCGGTGGCAGAAGATCCGTATCAATGCCGCCTGTCGCATCCAGGTTGCGTAACCCATCAAGAAGCAACTGAGGATTTTGTAGATCCTCCTCCGCCGGCATCTCAGTAACAAACGGTTGTTGGGCCAAAGGGCCGGGGTGCTATCCTTGTGCCGAAAACCGATACCCAGGGATTTGCACGCAGGCCGGGGGGGCCGTGCCAGCGGCCAGTAGGTGCAGGATGTTTGCACTGTTGCCAACCGTGCAGCCTCAATTTGTTTTTTGCTCCGGATGCTTGGACATGAATGAACATAATTGCCGCCATTTCGCTATTCTGGAGTGGCAGCAGGTGGAGGCGGGGAGCAGATTTGCCAACGAGAAAGGGCAACGCGAGGGATTGGCAGCACAGGCGCGTATTATCAACGCGGAAAAAGGACGAACATGTTCGGCGGATGCATACCGAAGAGGAATCATTTTTTTCGCGCCGCGCAACAGGCGAAACTGGACCGACGCGCGACTTCAGAAGCATCACAGAGGTCGTCGAGCGAGGCTGAGCAAAGCAAGAATGACGTGGACGAGCGAACATAACTGAAACTCATTGAAACCGAAAGCCGAGAAGCAGGATCACTCATTGAGAAAGAAGCCCACGTGCAAATGCTGCAAAACGCCGAACAAGGAGCAACCTTATCTCATCGATCGGCGGAACGCGCAATTCAAGAGAGAGGGAGAGTCACGCACAGGCCACTGCCATGAACGATTCAGTATACGAGGGAAGAAGAGAAACATGTACGATGGTACAACAAGTGCGTTTCCGTGGGCGCAGCGCTATCGATCAGACAGAACAGGTAAATACATAGTTGCACATGCTCACTGAAGATCTTGGAAGGCAAAGAGAAGCAAAAAAGACATTGCTTGTTCTCCGTGGGTCACAGAACACGACCATGTCCAGCGATGGGAAGATGCCAGCAGCGCCTCAGACTTGTCGGATGAGTGGAAGGGTGGCCGAGGCTCAGCTATTGGCATCGAGATGCTCTTCGCACCGTGCCCCGGGGAAAAAACCACGGCTACGCGTTGCGATGGCTTCAGGAGACGCGCAGCAAATGCCATTTTTGCAGCGGCCTAAAGTCATCGGGGCGCGCCCCGTGCGCCGCGCCGCGCCGCGCTGCTCGCGTCGATCCCATGACGGGGCGTTGTAGACGGCGTGCTCGGCGCAAATCGGAGGCCGAGGCGGGCGCGGAGAGAGGGCGCCGAGAAGAGGGGCGCTGGCCTTTCCCGGCAACGGGAAGACCAGGCGCGCGCGGCTAATCCCATCAAAGAGCAGGGGGGAGTTCTGATACACGCACGCAGGGGGCGCAATGCACGGGGGGGTGCCAGATAAGTCGAAGCGGTTGACGACGCACAGGTCGTTGAAAACGAGAGAATCAGAGCGCAATCCGTTGGGGCGCAGAGAGCAATGATTTCGCGATGTGCCGGCCTTTGCAAAATTTTTCAAACCGCCGGAAGAAGCCTCTCCCAAAGTGCCCACCGCGTCGGAGGATCAGCCCAATCCGTCAAATCACGCAGGCGGCTCAGCCGGAAGGCGGGGGGGGGCGGCGGTCGACGGGGGGCCTCTCGGGGTGGGGGCGGGGGGGGGGGGCGGCGGCGGGGGCGATCGAGGGCCCGTGGCATGTCCTTTGGAATTTTGGAAGCAAGTGGAACAAGCGACTGATATTAAACTGATGCCGATCCTCGATGCGACCGGTCTGCGCGAGTGGAAGCCACGTCCGACGCTGCGCCGTGGGCCACGCGCGTGCCCGACCGCGAGATTGACTCGGGGGTTTCGCGGAAGCCTGGCAAATGCGAGCGCGCAGATATGATGGTGGTTTCTGACTTTGCGGAGAAATTGGCCAAGACGAGACGGGAGAAAGACTGGCCACCTCGTCGGGTCCACCTCTTTGCGCATGTTTCGCGCGTGGAGCGCGAACCGCCCAGTGGATCTCGCTTGCTCTCTGGGCGGGAGATGATGCGTCTGATTTGCCGGCGGGCCCCCATGCGAACTGAGCGCGGCAGGAAAATGGCCGCGAGAGATTTTTCCATAATCGCCACTGATAAGAACGAGCCAGATGATGACCTCCGCCATTTCTACGACGAGTAGATGGCTCTACGCGGCGACTTGCATGGCGGCCCCGGCCCGCCCCCGCGCGTCGCAGCAGCCGTTCGTGGGCGCTTGCGTGAATGGATGAAGCTGGCCCCAGAGATGAAATGGGCCGCGACGAACTCCGACTTGAGCGGCAGCGCAGTTGGATCTGACGTCAAAACATGCGAGCGGCTATTTCGGCATCTGCAACAGATCATGGAAAAGACGCGGGCGAATCTGTCCTCGAATGTCGGAAGAGGGCTCTCAACAGAGGGGGCGCGTCAAAGGGCGAACCCGCTGCTCCTGGCCCGACTGGCCCGAAGAATTCGTCGGGGAAGCCCGCGGGCAAGATGGGGGGCGGACGGTCGAGGACAGACGCCCCGCGCAGACATTTGCTGAAGGGTGTTTTTTTTTGCTGAAGGCAAGGGCGCCCGTGCAATCGCGGGGCGCCCTCGGCAGCCCCTGCGACCC